AACATTTGAAATTAAACCAAATAGTAAGCAGTTATTTTTCCTTTTCCTTAAGTTTTTTTTACCTTCACGGGTTTTAGGCCTTTCGGAAACAAATTTTAAATTTTAATTATAGTTTGATAATTTCTCTTACTGTTATACTTCTTCACTTCTTTCTAGTTATATAATTGTAAAAAAAAAAGAAAAAAAGACTAATGAAGAATTAGTAATTGTTAAATTAGGAAACGAATATAATTAATTTAGATACAATTATATTTAGCTTCTTTTTTTTTCTATTTTATTCTTTCATTCTCCTTTTTTTCTCAATTTTATCATCGCTTTACATCCATTGTTATTATCACTCTTTTTAATCATTATCATTTTTTTTTATGCATGATTTACCTGCCATCATCATTTTACCATCTTTTCATTCTTCTTCATTATCGATTATCATGATAAATTAAACTATTTTTCCCTCTTTCTTTCTTTCCCTCCTCCTCCTCTCCATTTCCCTCTCTCTTTCTCTCTCTTTTCAATTTCAAGGAAAAAAAAAGGATAAATGATAATTCTTATCATTTAAATTTAATCAATCAACATTTAAATGAATCAAATTTATATCTCTTTTCCCTATTGCTCTTCTTATCGTTGGTATTGTAAAAGTATTATCATTATTATTATAGTTTATCTTCTTCTCTTTCTTTTTTAAATTTATAAAGTTTTTTTTTTAAATTTCAATTTTTTCTTTTTTTTTTACATTGTTATGTTACATTTTGCTGGGCCAACTTAATTCTCAGTGATTCCAATATATATGTTTATCAAAACAATTTTGTTTATTGTTTACTTCTCTCAGTAAGGCAAATATTATTGGCAGGTTGCCGATGTGAACTGTACCGGTGATTTTTTTTTTTTTTCTCTTCAAAATAATTTACTTCTTTAGGTGTATGTTTTTATTTTTTATTGTTGAATATTTTTTTTTTACTCTTATTGTTACGATAATATGTACTCATTTTCAATTATTCATGAAAAATTGCAAAAAAAAA